ATGAAAAAAATCTGTATCATCCACCTTTGAGCTTTGAAAGAGTAACCTCTTCTCTGCCTCCAGGCTGTGTGGTATCTGCTTGCTGCGCAGAGCTTACCAAACACAAGCCCAAAAGGATTTGTTATCAGTCTCCTACAGCTTACTGCCAGCTACATGAAAGTCCTGTTGCTCTGTCAGAAACCAGTTGGTTAGAGGGAGACATCCTAGCCGGGGATTGTTGATATAGTACCAGTAAAGCCACTTAGTCCTTCTAGACCCCCACCTCTGGCTGTGTGCCCCCCAGAGTGGAAAGGAGTCACATTTCTCCCAAAGACCTGCCTGGTGAACCTATGCCCCCCGTACTGTCCCTCTCCATCAGTTTAGGATACAGCCCTGGGAAACGTATATATTTGCTCACTTTCACCTTCAATGGCCATGTGAGCCCTGTGTGTGTGCCCTGTGTGTGCCCTGTGTGTGCACAGAGGGGCAAAGACAAACATTTCTTCTGCTGTGAGGAGCGGACACAGTGAGAGGTCCTTGTGAACGCAAAGCTTTCACACATTGCATGCCAATACCAAAGTTGTCATGCTGACGTTGTGTAAAATGTAAATACAAACACAATGTTGTGATTATAGAGACTCTAGAAGTGATTATGTGTGCTTTCTTTTTTCTTTTTTTTGACAGGCAGAAGCTTTACTGAAATGTAAAACCTGCTTCTGTTCTTGTCAATCTGCACAATATTTAGTTAATTATTTGCATCTTAAGTCTTTATTTCTTTCAGCCTTTTGTTGCTCCTGTCCCATTAGTTTGAGATGTATTGCACTTTAGGATGTCAATTTTGTTCACTCATTAATTTAATTTATTCATTGATTGATTTGCTTTTCATCACATGGTATGGAGCACATGGAGATGTTACCTGGAATGTCACACATTTGGGCATTAAACATATCTTCCTTCAATTTGTTCAATTACAGCTGTTTTATAACTCAAAAATACCTTAAAAATATTCTTACCAAGTGCATATTTGCTTCCGTAGATCTGATCATTATCTTCTCTCCATTATGATTACCAAGCTTATTTTCATACTGTGGAATAATCAAGGCAAAAACAGCATTATCTCCATGGAGAAAAACAGGTGGTAGACCCTTTACCTCAAAAGTTACACCTTTAAAGTTATAGTTAACAGTTTTATCAGTTGTTAGCAAGCATTTGAAAATGCTGAGATTGCTGATTATTGATCCAATATAAAGGTATTGGTTACAGTAGGTGCCATATCTTTATCAGTTCTATTTAATCCCTTGTTCTTGTTTGTTCAGATGTGCTGTTGTGGCGATACATTCATTCAGTAGTCAGTGACAGGTTTGCCCTTGCTCAGTACAACAGTCTGGGAATGTGCAGGCTTGAGTCACCAGAGAAAGGAGATTGTCAAAAGTCACTGTGAGCTGCAGGTATAGACAGACACACACTTCAGCACATGCTCCTCACAATCTGTGCCAAGACTGCTGAGAATACCAGGTGTGCCTGTAATGAGGCTGTGGCTGCTTCGATGAGGGGTGAAGAGGCTGGGGGTTCGAGAGGAGCACTTAGACACAGAGCGGCGGGCGGGGGCTGTCTGGTGCAGGTAAACACAGAAGTCTAGTACCTCTGACAGCTTTATTACCTGTGAGTTTATGGGGGTGATGTGTCTGTGGGGGAAGGGTCGGTGCTGGTATTTGCTCCTGGGGGCTGGTATCGTTCAAAAGGTTATTGATATTACTTATTGATATTATTGATATTAAAAGATCAGTGACTTAATCACTTTTGGTCATTTTATTCTGGAATTGTAGATAAAAAAAAATAAATCCTTTTTTAATTTGTGAAAAAAATATTCAGTAGGGGTTTATTTTTCATTTAAGGGGCCCATATTACACTATTTTCTGATATCTGTTATAATGTTGTTTCCTCGTCAAAAATATACCAGTTGTGCTTTGTTTCATTCTCACATGTTTAACACACAAACCCCACATAGTTCTTCTCTCAAACAAAAAACACTCCACCTTGTGATGTCATGTGATAATACAGAAAGTGGTCCACTGTGTTTTAAACTCCACACACCTTCACTAGAATCTTTTAGATCTTTTCAGCCCTGGAAATGCCCATCTCTACTGATTTAAAGGTAAAGGGTTGCTGTTTGGCTGTAACTTAACTTCACAACTAAAACCTCACAAGAGACAATTTTGCATAATATAGGACCTTTAAATCATAATGCCAGTTTCCCCATCTGATGGTTAATTTATTTGTTTGTAAATTAAAAATGGGGGAAGTTAAATAATACATTTGGAAATTATTATGAGTAATAATAAGAGAGAAAACTATTTTAGTGACTGTCCTTAAGACCAAAAATAACATGGGAAGTTTGAAAAATGTTCACTTAATATATTTGGTTTTGGTCATGTTTTTGTGGGGATTTCCCAAAACTGTCAACTACTCTCACCACAATTTGTGCCTTACTATTTTCAGTTTCAGATCTCGCCGTAATCACAGACCTACGTACTGCCCACTTGATGGTTTTAGTCACACCCACTATAGGCTTGTCACAATATCAAATTAAATATATCAAAAGTACAGAAATATACTGTGTTAAAAGCTAATACTAAAACTGTTTTATGCCTCTGACACACTGACAATGAAACAGGATAATTCCAGTAAAACATTTTTAAATAGACAGCATCATTAAAAGGCAAATAAATAACACAATAATGCAATAATTATCCATAGAAGTTACTTTTTCAACCTACTACAGCTCAAATCTTTTCACATTACAACAAAAATAATACAACTCTCCCCACCATTGCAAAGAAACTGTACACATGATAACTATTGAGCCCCAAAATATACCATTCCGGCTTTCATATACTGAACTTTAAGTCGAAATACTAGTAGTAATTATCATGACAGGCCTAACAGCCACCTCCACAAAAAGGATATTCACTAGTTTTGCCCAATTTGTGCACCTGCCAGCCTCTCCATCCTCTACTACAGCGATACTGGGAGTCATCTGGCTGACGGGCGACCACTTTGTCACTATAAGGTGAAGGGCAGAGTGACAGAAATAAATTGAAAAAAGCCAGGAGTGGTGTTCGAAATAAGAGCAGAGATGGAGGAGCCGCAGCAGGGACTCAACAGGCATCTAATTACCTCCCAACACGAACCCTCAGCGCCATGGAAACGGTCTGTAGAAATGCTCCCTCCTTCTGCCTGCTTTCACCCGTCAAACAACTGCTGCTATTGACCAAGTGCCGTATGGATCAGCTGGGTCAAAAAAGCGACATGATACGATGAGATGGTATAGGCCAATTCGATATTAGATACAGCTAATTGATTAGTCCATTGACTGCAGCATAAGGAAGTCAGTCAATCCTCTATGGAGAGTTTATGACACAGTTAGGTGTGTATAGTTGGTTTACTTTCATATTTTTAAACACAGCGTGTTTTTAGATTTCCCCAAAGTGAATTATTGGCTCTCATCCAATCCTGCATCCTTTTCTCCAACAACTTTCACTACATCCATAAATCTCCGCTTTGGTCGTTCTAGTATAGGGCATTTACTTGGCACCTTAAACCTCAGTGTTTTGTTTTTCTCGCTCTTTTTTAAGGCTGTGAAACTGATTGAATTTTAATTAAGATGCAGTCATTTCTAATTGTCAATTATATGCTTGGGTCTTTTTAATGAAGAGATCTTAGCCAATCCTCTCAAAAAAGCACAAGAAGATTTCAGACTCTGAAGAACTTGAGAGTAAGAAATGTGAGTATCTCTTTTTGTTTTAAATGCTGGTTATAAAAGTCTATAGTCCTATTGTTTATGTTAATGAAATGAATATTGAAAACCACTGTTATTAGTTTTTAGTACAACAATATCAAAAATAAACTGAAAATCAAGATCGATCAATATGATGAGAAAAATGTGATTTATTTAACTGTCACATCACCTATTTCACTTTATTTCCTTTTATTCCTTCATACATTTTGAGAATTGAAAGTGGATTTTTCACAAAGGGGAAGTATGACTTGTAATTTCCACGGTGGATTCCTAGTTAAAAGGTCAAATTACACACCAATCACCACATTTTTTATTACGTACATATCAGCATTTATTCCATTTATAGCTATATACTGTATAAGCGCTGACCTCAGCTCCCCCATTAGGACACTCGAGGCAGGACTTACAAACAAACCGTGGCCATGCGTTCCTGTAATGCTAATTAATGGCCTACAACATCATATATCAACCATGACACACCACATGGCCTATACTCCAGTCTCAGTCGTAATGAGAAGATAGATTTACTTCAACGGGAAAGACGGCAGCCATAACAAAATTAATCATGCCTGGATATTAGATTAGCCACTGTTACCGTCACAAATACAGCTGTTTGGAATTTAATGAGAGAACTGTCTATACTATGGAGGGGACTATTTCAGTTCCTTTTAAATCCAATATTTTAAAGGGCCTATATTATGCTATTTTCTGATATGTGTTAAAATGTGGTTTGTTCATCACAGACACAGACCTTGAGTTGTGTTTTGTTTCATTCACACATGTTAAACACAGTTCATCTCTCAAACTGAAATGAGTTCAGCTCTGGAACTTCCAGTCTCTACTAAACAAAATGCAAGAGGCAGCTGTCAACTTGAAAACTAACACTAGACAACATTACAAGGTAGAACAGAGCATTTTGAACTTTGAAGATGTAGACAGACTAATAATAAAGGGTGACTCAAACATATGTGAGTGAAACAAAACATAACTCAGTTATGTTTTTGAGATAACAGTGTTATAGTCAGTTTTGCATATAGGACCTCATAGAAGGATGTTTTCCCATTCAAAAGATATAATATTTTATTATTTGCTATGGCAACAGTTCTAATTTCATCATTCTGAAACCTCTGGACAGGAATAATATAATTTCCAGGGATGTCACTAACAAGTGTTTCAATTACTATCAAAGGGATAACTTTTATCATTATTCACATTATATTATTATTAACATTGCTATGACCAAACAACTGAATTCTTTTTCTTTCATTTACATTGTTTAGTATATTCCATTCATAGTTGTAAGATTTTATTTTATATTATTGTGCTCAGTTGGAGAGCTGCTGTAATTTATCATAAGTGCTACGCAGGAACAGAATCAGCCCTATTCAGTTTGGTACGATCCCTCATCAAAAAGCTCTTCATTGGTGGTTCATTTGAACATTATACATAATACATGAGTGTTTTTTACAGTGATAAGACATTTTGACTGACAGATTGAGGACGCTCTGGTCTCAGACACGTGCCAATTTGTGTTATACTCCAATTATGTTGAAGTAATAAGATGAGTAGCTTGGGCCTATCATTTGTCAGAGCCTGGTTTTCGCCCACTCAAAAAGGACAAAATGGAGTTAGTTGGACTTCTAAGAGCAGGTGAAGTGGTCTAACTCTAAAAGCACCATCAGTGATTTGGAGTGCTGGTTAATGCTCATTACGATTCAGTGTTATGTTCTTTCACTGTTTTCACTTTTAGGCAGATGGCTTTTGTTAGTGAGGAATAAGTTAAATATGTGTATGTCTAAAGTAGGTAGTTTTTTTCTTTTTTTACCTTTTAACTTTTTTTTACAAAATTGATGCCAAAAATGTTCCACGGTATGACATTAAACACATCTATCTAGCATTTTTTCATTGCAAATGTTTCTGTTGCTCAAAAATACAATAATTCTCTGTGTGAATAGGGTTGCCTCTTCACAGATCTTATCTGTAATCTAGCAAAGTTATCTCCCTTCATATAGATCTCTACCATGGAACAAAGTAATAACATCTCCAAGGAGACAAGCAGGTGACAGACCCTCCTCTAGAAATGTTGCACAGGGCACCTTTAACATTCATCACAGACAACCACTCAAAAATATAAATACTGAATTTCTTCACAACTACAGTTTAATTACTTGTAATAGTCTATAAAGTGATGCAATTTTGTGGAACTATTTTCAGGTTCATTGTGAAGTTTTTCTGGTGAAGATCAGACCAAGTTACAGGTCAGATCTGTGGAGAGGCAACCCCTCTCACAGACAGAATGCCTGTTTTTCTAGGTATTTTTGAGCTATAAAACCACCTGTAATTGAATAAATGTAAGGTAGAGCTGTTTAATGTCATACTGTGGAACATTTCAGGCAGAGCAGTGACATATCCATAGAAACAAGAGATGGTGTTAAACTCCCAACCAAAAACATTACATTGTGCACCTTCAACATATTGAAACCATGACTTCACTTGAACCCAGTTGCACTTTTGCACTCTCAGTCCTTTACAACACGCCCCTGCACAATAGAAACACACAGATCCAAACCAGTGTGTCTGTGCTAGCTGTGGAATGACAGGCCTACAGGGCGTGTCTGTGTGCAGGACTGCGATTCAGGAGGTCCGAGTTAAACGGACAGGTGCGAGGATGTGACCGCGACCCTCGTCTGGAACTTTGGGGGAATTCCTCCGCTGGGTCGTCCTGCTGATGGTGTGCGATGCATAGGCAGAGGCAGCACGGGGAATGGGAGGGGAGCTGAATTCCTTGATGGTAACTCAATCCCATTTCTCACTGTTGTGTGGGTGCAAGTGTGCAGGCAAGTGTTTGTGCAAGATACAGTGCTGTCATTTGTCTCCAGATCAAAACACGCGCCATTAAGCAAAGCCTCTGTGGTCTCAACTGGTGTGTGGTGACATGGGTAGATCAGTCGAACATGTGACCACCTTCTTAGTTAAGCTCATGTTATGACTGCCAAAAATGCATTCTGCACATTGATGGACTGCTTTCAGACTTCTTTCTATAGACAACAGCAACATTTGTTTCATGAGTTGGAGCTACAGTTGGACAAATGGACAAAGTTTGTGACAAAGTTCATGCCAGTTTCTGGTTTGGACCAAGTTTTGTGATTGCAGTTCACAGTACACATTCACACAGGATTATTATAAACTATTTTGAGAGAAGGCTAAAAAATAAATTTACGTGTATTTCAAAACTTGTTTGCAAAGCTCTTAACTATGAGGTTAGTGGCTTTATATTTTAAGACCACATGATGATAGGATGTTGTGTTTTTGTGGAAATATTTTTTACGTAAATAACTGCAGATTTTGTAATTTATTAATAGTGGAAATTGAATTTGCACATTTCATTTCAACTGTTTCTGCAGCCTTGTGTTTCTAACTCTCACAATTTGCCCTGTGCTATCGTATCTGTAGATTTACTACTACAAGTGTGTTTTTTATTGACTTCACCTGTTGTGCCTGGTCGTGAGTAGTGTTTTTGTTTGTTTCTCTTAGCAGTGAATTTAAGCTGCCAAATTAGTGTGAGCTTCAGTGTGGATGCCAGCACTCTTTTGGATTCCTGTAGGGCCAGGGGATGATGGTCAGGGCAAGTGGCCAAAGAGTGCCCCGTGCGGTGTACATCCCACTGGGAGAGCAAGCTGTCCCGACTGTGGGCTCGGCGGAAACTAGGGCATGGATTATTGTTAAATTGTGTTGTAAAAGATGACAAATGCATGTTTTGCTCTCTTCTAAAGATCTCACCATCACAAATATCTTTCTCCATAATTTAGGCCGTCTAAGAACTTACAATTTAGGCCACATCTGCTACAAGCAAAACAGTGTCAGGAGTAAAAATAGGCGTTCATTCGTTTTTTGGAGCACTGTCTCAAAATAGATGTTGGAGAAGTGAACATGTGGATCCCAAATTAGAAGTGGTTGATAGAAAAAGAGGTAGGCCATAGTACAACGTATCTAGAGGAGAAGAGTTTTAGTATTCTGAATGCCTTCTCTGTGCTTTGGCCTGGGGGTTGTAAGCTCGTCACACGCCCCTCAACTCCCTCCCCAGCCCTGTCATTGTCCCATACTCCTCTGGTCTTGTAGTGAGACACGAGACGCAGCTTTAAAACTGTGGCTTTGTGGCTTCCTGAAATATGAGGCAGCTACAGGAACAACATAGAGCAGCACCACTACTATATTACATCTAAAGTTACACAATTAAACTAGGCAGTGTTTTTCAGTATCATTATACAGCCTTGCATCGAATGTCGCAGAGGAAGTAGAAAATAGGCTGAAAGTAGAGTTCCATAGCAGTAGTGACATTATTATTGCTGACATTATGTATGCTGTAGGCTATAAGAATGTGTTCACACTGGTTTGGTTCTTGTTTGAACCCCATTTAGTCCTGATATTAACAGTAAAGCTCATTAACAATTAGTACATAACATCAAGTTAATTGAGTTTAACACATACATTCATCACAATGCTTGGTTAGCATTAACAATGTCGCATTTTTTCATTTGCAGACATTGATATAAACTGGTTTGGCCCTAGTTTAGTCCACATTTGATCTGGAATAGAATTACTTTTTTCTTAAATACAAACCCTTGTTCCTCACAATTGTAAGTATCTGTAGTTGTTAATACGTGCAACTAAGTAAGTAACAATAGTAACCATCTGCAATAATAGTAATTCTGATTGAAGATAAAGATATTTATTTTGAAATCCAATCTAATTAATACAGATAAACTACCTTTTGAGAATTTGATATTTTAGTGTTTGAGAGCAACTACTGTGAGCAACATGTTTCAACAATCACTTGGACAAATCCACTCTACTCCCTATGTGCACTGCCTCTGACCTCTGGCCTGAACACTGACCTGTCCTTAATGACAGAGGGTCAGTTTGTCTACTTTGATTTGCTCTGAACAGCCCTCACTGTTCATGTGCTCCCTCCACTCTCCTGCCATTAACTTCTGCTCATCAGTGGCCGCACAGAAGTAGGTGTAGCTAATAATAGTATGCAGGTAGACTGGTTCTACAGAGACGGGGCTAGACTTTAAATCTAGACATTCAAGCTGCTAAAATCCTATTGTTTTAACATGACACATATGCTTTTGTTACTTTAATACACCCAGACTGAAGCAGCAGCAGAGCCAGTAGAGATGTTAAAAATTTCAAACACCGATGACAGAAAGAGCAGGTGGTTGCAGAGATGGTAGAGATAGGATTCTGACACACATAAATGAACTATGAGGAACAATGGCGGTAGCACAGGTGTCTAGACAAAGTGTGAGATGCTGTGGGCTGCGGGAGTCTCGGGGGGGTTAGGATTCACCTGTATGAGCCTGTGAGGGGCACTTGATGTTTTCTAATGCTCTGCTGATGCACTGTGACAGACAATGAGGGAGCCACCAGAGTCAGACAGAAGAGGAGGGCTTTGACATGTAACATGGATCAAATATCCTGGTTTATAGTTTGTAGGATTGCTTAATTTTAGGTAAAAATGTAAGTATGGAAGTATAGTTAAAAATCGTTACCCAGGTTATAATTGATACCAAAACTAGATAGTAGATACAGTACCGATACTGAAAAAATTGCATACTATATCGAAGAAGGTTTGATCTTTCCTGAATAGTTTTAGAATGGTCTTTTTCCATATCAGTGCAAGTATAAGACCACACAGAGATGACTTTTATTTTGTGTTCAAATCAAAAACTATTGAATAAAGACAATACTAGTTGCAAGGTTATATTGGGTCAAACCTGTGTTTGTTGAAATGTAGAATAGTTTCACAACTTCAATTACAGACATTTTAAGTAACTTTTTACAAAGTCAACTTGCAGCAGCAATGGAAAACATGTTTAGAAGTGTGGTCCTTGAGTGGATTAGGGTGCTTTGTGGCTGTCAGTCAAAATGAATCATTTGGCCTTACAAATGCTCTGTGTTGACACTGCTTTAAACATCAGATGATATCAGTTTGCTTTACTTCAGGGCTAAATGCTATGAAGAAGAATCTCAAGTATATAAAGAAACAAATCAGTTTGTGAAGTGTCTGTAAAGTTTGTGTCTCTGGTTTGTTTATTAAAAGACACTCCCTTCAGCCACTCCTGAATTCAAGAGCTCTATACAGTGCACACAAAATTACAATTCTAGCTGTACCCAGTATTTTTCTTCACCTTCCATTATTACAATTCATCTTTGTTTATCACGGTCAGTATTTCTTTTTACAGTATGAGAAAAAGTCACGAGGCAGTCATGTACAGCTGAGTGGTCTATCATAAGATCTGGTAAACACAGAAGGAGGAAGTGACAGTGTCCCATTATACAAACCATCATTAATATTGTGGGAACCCTGGGAGCACATTCAAATACAAAAGTGTGTAGTTTTGTTTGATGCTCAGATTATCTCCTGGTTTTATGCAGACAGTGGAGATGAAAAGGGAAGTGTCTGCCAGCCTCTATTACGTCACTGTTGTAGTAGCAGCTTTGTTTCTTTATCTGATCTACAAACGTATTCCACAGGGTCAATACAAGGTTACAGCAAGATTATGCCTTTTGAGAGTCATTCAGTGTGGGTTGATTTGCAGAGTTGAGATTGTGATTTAAATGTTGGATCATTAAGTAAAATGTTAACAAGGTAATTATTTGGAAATCTATGATGATTTAAGAAAACAAACACACAAAAAAAGCTTGAAAGTAAGTAAAAAAGTCTTCTAATGAGCTAATTTGTATTTTAGCTGCAGTACATTTAAGACTGAGCAATACAAATCTTTCTTACAATTGAACTAATTAATGAAACAGATCTATAAGCATGCATATGGCTCACAAATAAACAAAAAGTATTAGTAATATTATTTGAAATCTTTTCTTTGGTCTTTTATATTTTTGCAATCAAATTCAAATGTATTTTCTTTTATATTCACAATATCCAAATAGAGCTACAATATCTGTCTTTCTTAGTTTTACACATCATTCAGTTTCATTTTAATTATAATATACAAACTTGAACTACTTTCTATTTTTGAGGTTGAACACAAGGTCACACTGGTCCTCTGTATCACTTTAAGGCTGCTTTTATGCATTTGAATAGGCTGGTGCAAAGTGAATGCATAGACCCTGCAGAGCTGAAAGACCTTACAGCGTCCTCTCCTAAGTGTGATTGTGCAGAGGCTGTCGTCAATGTAGGAGGAAGGATGTTAAAAAGCACATGTTGGCCTGGCTGACCCCTCCCCCAGTGCATTTTGGAGGGCTGTGTATGTGTGTGCGTATGTGTGTGTGTGTGTGTGTGTGTGCGCGTGCGTGTGTTTGTGCTTGTGTCTTAGGTGTGTGCTGTTGCATGAATAAGTGCTCAGTGGGCAGAGGAATGAGAAGAACAAAGAACGCTAGACCACTCAAGCAGGAAACTTGACCTTTGAACCCAGGGACACATGACACTAGTTTATCGAATGGGGGATGGGCACCTGAAGGTCACATAATAGAAGCTGGGAAGATGCTCATGGTGTATTCAAAGTGTAGGATTTCTCATGTGCTAATGTGTTCAGTCAGACTAGACTGAAGAGTAGTTTCTTTTCATGTGGACGCTGGTAGTAATGATGAAAGCAACCACAAACTTGATTCACTTTTGTTTTCATGAGTAATGCCCAAAAGGAAAGTGCACAACTGATGAATTTGGTTATTTTATTAGGAATTAGGGCGATGATACACCACACTAAAGATACAGTTTTTTCAAACCTGGATCTCAGGGAGACGAAAACTGTTAAGGCCAAAAATATTATATCATAATTTTCTAGAGTCAAGTTCCTGAATCAGATTTTCTCACAATTCAGCTTTATTCTGTCTTCAAGAGGTAACTACTGCTTCTTCTGGGTATTTACTCTTCTCGTGATTTGTAGTTGAATTCACCTGTCACTCACCCAGAACATGACAGAGACTGAGCAATAGGGGGACTGAATCTGACTATGACGATTTCTTCAAAATTATACATAGTCACAGGGATCAGCTCACAAATATATTTTAATCACCATAGAGACTGGCCACAACTTGAACCACAGAAACATAGCATTATAGAAAAAGTTCTCTTCTGCTCTTCTTTTGACCCCTGAAGGCATTATGGATTTTTGTTTGACCATATTAACCTTGCCTTGAGGTGCCCAGAGACTGTGGTTGTCCTTGGTGATGGTGAGTAATGCAGGTCACCAGCGATTGGTCAATTTATCATTCCAAAGAAAGGCCATGAAAAAATAATAGTATCTGTATAGGACAAGACTCAAAACTGAATGTATCTATGGCAGAAATCAAAGTATCCTAGTATATCAAACAAAGACTTGGTGATTTTCATTTTTATTTAGTTTTAGTAATAACAAAGAAAAATTGCTTTCAATATCCATTTCCTGAACATAAATGATACAGAGTGATTTGACATCAAAGTCAAATTTCTTCCTTCAAACTCTGAAACCATACATTTTTACTGAAGATTGGCTGTAGACCTCTCGATTAAAAAAAAATCCAGTCATATCACTGGCAATTACAAATGAAAGAATCTAAATCTTGATTATAATTTGATCAATAGCACAGCAAACTTTCAACTTGCTTTTCACACCTCACTGTATAAAATAAATTTGAGTGGTTGTTTTTTGAGATCTTTTACGCTTCAAGAGCTGCATCTTGGGATCACAATGTTGTCCTCTGTTTGTACTATGTCTACTCTACCATGAAGTATCATAAGAGCTTTTTCCACCCACTGTACTACTACTACACCTGCCACTCCATTGAGAGGATGAGTGGATGTTAAATTTTTAAAAAGGTGTAACACAAAGCGTCTCTCATACGTAGATGAGTCTTTTGGGACAGAAATGAAGGACACACAAAAGCAGTTCAGAGGCAGCCCCGGTCTCCACGGCGACTGAGTGACCCACATTTTTGAGTCTCCTCGATGTGGGAAACGGGCAGCTGCTGGTGGGGGTACACTGTAACCGCGGCGACGGGAGTGTCCCACAGCCAGAGACCAAGGAGAGAGTTTGAGGGCAGGAGATGATACACTAAGAGATAAAAGATTGAGGCAGGGCCTAATGGGTTTTACCAAGACTATATTTAGTAAGGTTGTCAAAAGTACAGTATATCAGAAGAGTATTACTAAATCTAGTGACAAAACTCGATAACTACTGCTTTGAGCAAGTACTCATATTAAATTTGTATTGACTATTGAGCCTATTGAAATTTTAGTCCAATGATTTTCTTTTTTTACTGAGAATAACAAAGTGAATCAGAGTTTATGGCTTTTCATTTGTGTCTGTAAGAATGTCTGCTACATTATATGTAAAGTATTATGATATTTATTATTAGCAGTGCAGTATTAATACTGCTTTTGGTAAAGAGAGACCAGGAAATAATCTGCATTTGTTTGCCACTGTGACTGGAACTCTTCTACTTCCTCTTGAAATCTCAAACTTATCTTTATTCCTTTGTGTCTATTCCTTTCCACTGTGTTTGTGTGTTTCAGCCAGGAATGCCCCAGACTGTGTGCACCATGTTCAGCACTCCCAGTGGCTACAGCCCCCACCTGGCCTGCGCTGAGCCTGGGGACGAGGAGGAGGCCCCACAGGAGGGTCCGGGCTCCGGGGCCTGCCTCTCAGACGGACCCCCCATCACCTCTGCCTCTCTGGACACTCTCATCCAGAACCTGGTGCCCACTGCCGATTACTATCCAGAGGTAAATGTCACAATAAGCATTTTGCAGATTTGTTTTGAAAGAAGCAACCCACGGGTTTCATAATTATTAAGAATTAGGACTGTTTCCAGGGCAAGTAAGAATAGAATATATCTACTGAATAGTGAAAAATCGTCAGATTGTCACATATAACAGAAACGCAAATAGTAAAAGCTACAATGCACAGAAATGCAGTTAAATTTAAATATGACCCCAAAATTGAATTGCTTACTCAATCATTATGTAAATGTATATTTTATTGACCCTGTTTTCAAAATTGACTATTATTTAATAAGTTATTCTCAAAATCCACATTTAGCTTGTTTCACACATTTGGCATATCAAACTTAATGCATATCATGTTTATAGGCCACTCCCAGATTTGAGTATACACCCTTCAATATGTAGCTTTACAGAAAGTCCATTAGAGTTTATAGCTGGGTCAGAGGCCTGTAGGATTACCTGTCCCATGTGTCTGTTTTATGTGGCTGCTGCTTTAATTACACTCTACCTCACTATTTCTGCACTGGACTCAGAGCTGGCGTCTTCTCTCCCACAGAAAGCCTATGTGTTTACCTTTCTGCTGAGCGCGCGCCTCTTCATCCCGCCCCCAGAGCTGCTGGCCCGCGTCTGTGAGCTGTGCATCAAACAACAGCAGCTGGACCAGAGCCCACTGGACACGGTCAGCTATGTGCCACTCTGTCACACTCCAAATAAGACATAGACTGCATGAGTGAAATAATACTTGAATTTGAGTTGTTGTTGTTTTTTTTTACCAGGTTTATTCTTTGATAGACCCATCTTACTTAAATATGCACCATGTAACCTTCTACTGAAGGGTCCACCACCTACTTGTCTCAGTGAAGATGATATTGGTTTGCTTGGAATGTTCCAATGTTCTAAGTATGGCATCAAACTTATCTATCTCCATGGAGACAATGAGCTAATGCCACCAGGCCACAGGTCAGAGCTGTGGAGAGGCAATCTCACTCTCAATACAAACATCTGTAACTGAATGAAAGCAGAAGGATATTTGCCATACTGAGGAACATTCCAGACAAGACAAAAATATAGAAAAAAAAAACTAGCGGTGTACCACTAATCTAGTGCACCCTTAATTTCTTTAATTTCTTTAGGTTTCTACTGTACTTTGCTTCTCATTTTAAGATAACTTAATTACCAATGGGGTACAAAATAACACTTGCCCCATTGGAAGGATTAGTTACTTAATTTTAATCAAATGAATGATACCAGTCACAAATGCCATGAAACGTTAAATTAACTAATCAGTTAAAACTAACATATTCAAAACAAACCAAGATTTACAGTCAAGTGATTTAATCCCATGCTGGATATTCTGCTTTTGCAGTGCACCTCTACAGAGACACTCAAATTGGAAATTAAAAAAAAGAAAATACATACATGTTCATTTATCTTAATGGTTTCTGTTTTGTTCTTTCAACAGGCCAAAGTGCGCAAATTTGGGCCCAAGATCCTGCAGCTGCTGACTGAGTGGACTGAGACGTTCCCCTCAGACTTTAGAGATGAAAAGATGGTTGGGCAACTGAAGGACTTCATTCACAGGATCGCTCCATGTGACGAAGTAAGAGAAAATTGATTTTATACATCTATTTAATAATAGAAAAATTCTCATCTCTGTAAATCAAATTATTTAAATTTACCATTTGTACATGTCAAGCATTACATGTACAAATATCAAGCATTACATTTTGATTATTTTAGGTAGTAGCATACAAACAAATTTGGTCAGAATATTGCAAAACTTTCTTGTGGGGTTTTGTATGAATCTAAAATGAAATTAAACAATGGTGGACAATGTACAAGTGATGTGACAGACAAATCTTTGAAGAAGTTAAGTCTTTAAAACTTAAATTGGACCACTGAGAATGGACAGACGGTTGTAATGTTTTGTTCGATTGGCACATTTTCATTGGTTCTGATGTAACTGCTAGTGTGAAAGTAGAAGGAGCGAGCAGCTGCATGTTACACAATAGTCCAGGACTGAAGGAGGACAGGAGGAGGTGAGAGGAGTGGCTCTGTCTGCAGCCTCCAGGGAAAGATCGAGAAAAAGAAAACGGGGGGATGGTGGGATGAAGAGCAGAGGAGACAGTGGTAAAAGAGGACAGAAAAAAGAAAAAGAGAGAGAGGAGCAAGGGCAGGTGGTGATGAATGTGCCTCTATTTACAACTGTGGAGCATGTGTGTAGTTGTGCGCATTTGTGTGGGTGTTTGTGTGTATGTTTGTGTGTGTTTGTGTGCATACAGATGGACTGTGGGTCATTTGTGAGACACAGTGACCCCTGGCCTCAGAGTCTGGTCTCAGCAGGAGGAACCAGCACATTCCTGGGCAAAGTGCATACATTTACTGGGCCCATGTAAAATAATTAACCAGCTTGCCTTAATGTAACTGTTCAGCTGAGGGATGAGCCTGGGCTCTCTGCTCAAAAAGATCTGCAGTTTAAGGTAAAGGGCTGGAACAGAAAATGTTAATTCCTTATTTTAACTTGTAAAATTGAAGTTAATGAGGCAGTAATTAGCATTTAATGTTGCGCTATGTCACTTTTCTGATGGGGGCCATCACCTTCTTGCTTCCATGAAGAGAATAATGCTTTTTCTGGAATGTTCCACACTATGGCCTTAAACTCATATCTTGCTGTTATGAATATGCATGTTTTATTGCTCAAAAATACCTGCATCCTTATAATGGGTGGGATCCCCCTCTAAGTAAAGTAACTACATCTCCACTGATTTTCCACCAAAGAAGTTACATTTGATGCTTTATGAATCTGCAAACAAGCTCACGTTACACATGTATTTATTTTTATTGCAAGAGATCTAGGATGATAAAATGTGGTTAACAAAGTTAGATTTCCTGGAATACACTAAAAACAACATAAATATGTACTTCACTGGTTGACTGCGGTGTGTTATGAATCCACATGAAATATTAGAATAATGTAAGCATATCGTGCGATAAAGATTCATTCTAAATACGTGAGCTCTCTATTCCTACTAAAGCTCCATATGGTTTGTCATGTACAATACATGAATGTACTCCCCATCTCCTCCTAACCCAGTCTTTGCTGTGACCTCTCCTCAGGCGTACTGGAAGAGTCTGAACCAGCTGCTGCAGAAGCTGAGCCAGAGGTTGGCCCTGATGAGCCAGGGGGAGGAGAGCATCGTGAAGGTCTTGCACACTGCCTCCTCCATCTCTGACAAACTGGTGGCCTTCAAAACCAAACCTCCACCCATCACCAAGGACATCCTCTCCATCTGCAATGACCCCTACACACTGGCACAGCAGCTCACCCACATCGAACTGGTAAGACACAGAGAGGCAGGGAGAGGTCAGCCAATTACTGTTAAAATACATGATAAGAATGGGATGGGAAAAGTTCTCTTATTGTACAATATTGCCAGAAGCAGTTTTTAAAATACCCCACAAAATTATTACTAGAGTATGTTCCACAACTGTCATAACTTTTCTCCTCTGGTAATACTGCTGTTACTTCTATTTATGCCATTTTAACATTGATTATCTTCAATATTTAAACGTTTGTATTATTGAGGTGAAAAGTATTACTTTATGGCATTCTAAAAATGTCCTCAAATTGTAGTGTAGTTGGTAAAGGAATATACAGCATGAGCATGTGTATGAGGTTGTGAAGATTGTTGGGGAGAGCATTTGGCATAAACCAATTTATACAAACCAGTAGATGATTGGTTTCAACACCAGTAGAAAGCATGCAAAATATTACTGCAAATAAGTATTATATTTGCAGTATTGTATGGATATTGTATAGGGTCTTGGTTGTGCAGCTCACCTACATAGTGAATTGGTAGACATTAGTGCCATTGGTGGTAGGCGAGGTTACCATTTTAAACCAGCATAAAAAAAAGTTTTAATACATGTAGGAGGTGTAATGGTAAATTGAGATGAGCAGAATCACTTAACACTTTGATCTTGGAGCATTTTTAACATTCCTGTAATAATTTCTTGTCAGCTATTGCTCCTAGCCTCCAAATGAATAAAGGGAATTATGCAATAAAACATGCATGAACAGCCCTCACATGGCCCACGCGTGCTCCTGCCCTGTCATGTGTGTTTGATGTGGACCACGTGTGTGTGTATTTGTGTGTATTCATGTGTGTGTGTGTATTTATTTGTGTGTGTTGTACTCTCGTCTCTGCAGTGACATCACCACCACACAAGTTAGCTCTGTGGCCCAGGGCATCTCACAGTGGATATATGCGACCTGACAGCTTACTCTCCTGCACACAATAGTCAAGGGGCAGACAATGTACCAAGAATCATATTACATGATTTCTTAGACAAATTCAATAGAAACAAAAACAGATTAAAGCACTTGATGGCAACAAAAGCTGGGACAGTAAGAAGCACAAAAGGCAGTTTGCAACAATTGTCCCTGGGACAAATTGCATTTGAATTAAATTGATAATTTTGGTCTATCTCATATTTTAGTTAAAGGTATGGTATGTAACTTTTCTGGTGGGAAGCCCATCACCATGGTGATGTTATGTAAAGCAATAACAATCCAATAAAATTCATGTATTTAAATACAGATGTTTTTATTGTTTAAAATGTCTGTTAGCATCACCTGCTTGTGTCAGAGTGGATATTATTTTGGAACAATTGGGCAAAGCAATAAAATCAGGCAGTGATGGGTCCTTCATCACAAAGTGACATAGTGCATCTTAAATAACTGAAATTTAAATAAAACTGAAATCCTTTAAATAAAAAGGAATTATTTATTATTTAGAATTTGTTTATATTTAACTTGACTTCCCCATTTCTATGTATTGTGATTTCCATGTTATGTTTATGCTGTGGCAGCAGCTTCTGTCACAGTATGTCACAGTATGGGGTAAATGAGTCAGTGGCTTTTGCACATGTCTGTGTTGTCTTTAAATAGACGTGAATATTGTCTCATATGTGTCGCATTGAGGAAATATGGTTCCACCGAGTCGCGTCAATGACTGGTTACTTCCTTTATTGATCACCTCCCATTACGGAAATGAAACAAGTATTAATAGAACCACCGGCACCCACACCACCCCCTCTCTCTGTCCCTGTGTTTCAGGAACATTTGAGTCGCATTGAACCAGAGGAATTTGTCCAGGCTTTTGTGCAGAAAGACCCTTTGGATGGTACACAGGTACATGTCAAAATTAAGTTACATTTACTATCAATATGTAAGTTTTTGTGTGTATTTTATTTCTGTTCTTAGACAACATTATAATTTAGATTTTACAGTTAGTAATAGCCTAGGGATCTGATGGTCAGTATGGTCAAATATTTTATCATGCACAAAAATACTTGATAATCATCAATCATTTGCTACTTCAAAAACAGCAACACAGGTACTATACTTTTTTTTTTATCAAAATGTGTCTTAACATGAATTTTGAAAGCAGTGATGTGCAAGGCATGCTCCTTAGTGCTCCAAAGACCAAATTATCAATAGGCCTACAATCTTTGCTATGCCTTTTTATGATCCACTGTATTTCACTTCATTATTCTTGACACTGCCATGTCAAAAGCAGTTATAGTCTAGTAGTTTAGGAGCTAATTAGTATCATAAAAATCTATCAATCCTATGGTCCTGTATTGTTGTGTGACTGTGTGTGTTTTGAACCTTTAACAGCCATGCTTCAGTGACCAGAAGAAGAAAACCACAAACCTGGAGGCCTATGTCAGGTGGTTCAACCGATTATGTTACCTGGTTGCTACTGAAATCTGCATGGTGAGAGCAAATCTGTTTTACCTGTCTGACACTGACCGTAACAATTCCAATATATTTAATAAGAACTGTCTGTAAAACACAGTTATATAATACTGTATATTTCAAGAAAAGTCACAACCAGATTTGCTGGTTGACACGATGTAAGTGGTAGTTTCTATGGAGAGCTACTGACCCCTAATGGAAATTTACTGTCATTACAACAGTAGGTAACGGTCTTAGTCATTTAACAATATCCAATGTCCTAATAACAATGTGATAAACTGTATTTGTAATTAATTTGATACATTTATTTATTTAATTAATTATCTAATTAGGCAATGATTCTTTTTTTTTTTTTATCATATTATTGGTAAGATATCACAACTAAACTAAAAACTACTTGTCGTGTGAATCATGGAAGTTACACTCAGATAAAGGTTACTGGGTGAATGCTGAAATTACATAGCAAGGCTAATAGATTATTTAATATTATAAAACCTATAATATTTCATCTGCAGCCTGCAAAGAAGAAGCAGAGAGCGACTGTCATTGAGTTTTTCATTGATGTGGCCAGAGAGTGCTTTAACATCGGAAATTTCAACTCACTTATGGCCATCATATGTAAGTTACTAATTCTTCAATTTCTGTCTGACAGACAGTATCCAGCTATTTATATTCTATTCCTCATGTCTTTCTATAGCCGGTATGAACATGACTCCTGTGTCCCGCCTGAAAAAGACTTGGGGCAAAGCCAAGACTGCCAAATTCTTCATTCTGGAGGTATGTACATTTTAGCGGCATGTCACTGCAGACACATGAACGCAGTAGCAGTAGAACTAACAGCGGGCTCCTTGTTCACACTTGTCTTGACAGCATCAGATGGACCCCACAGGAAACTTCTACAACTACAGAACGGCTCTGAGGGGGGCGGCCCATCGCTCACGGACCGCCAACAGCAACAGAGAAAAAGTATGGGCCTTTTTCTGCCTTTTATCATTACAGTGAATAACCTGCTGAGTATAATAACCCTATCCCATGCCTTTTTGCAGATTGTCATTCCCTTTTTTAGCCTCCTTATCAAAGACATTTACTTCCTGAATGAAGGATGTGCCAATCGGCTTCCTAATGGCCACGTCAACTTTGAGGTAAGAGTGCTATTTATTTTTTTTACTTTTACAGCATTTCGTCATGAATAAGGCTTATAGAAGTGTTTCTGTTGTCAGAAATTTATGGAGCTGGCACGACAGGTTGGGGAGTTTATGACATGGAAACAGGTGGAGTGCCCCTTTGAGGAGGATCGGGCAATCCTACACTACCTCCACACTGCCCCCATCTTCAGCGAGGATGGTGAGTTCAGTGGCTACTACACTTTTTTACTGAATATTTATATTTGATCAATTATAAATAATTATCTTAATTTACATTTTATCTTCAGGACTTTACCTTGCATCATATGAAAGCGAGAGTCCAGAAAACCAGGTCGAGAAAGACCGATGGAAAGCACTCAGGTGAGTTTTTTAAATACAGAGATTTCATGATATGCAGATTTATTATTATTCCGAAAATATACAATACAATTTTAGACATTAGTGCAAATAATACTAACACAAATATTCAGAATAATTGTAAGTGCGTTTGTTTTTGCAGGGCTAATGTGCTGGCAAAGACATGAGGCTCTGACGGCAGCTGGCCCTCTCACCAACGAGGGCGCAAGTTCTCATTGCACTAAAACGAACTGTGAAGGAACCAAGCTGGTACTTAGGTGTTTTCTATGAAGAATTGATGACAACATGATGAACAGGATTCATCAAATGAACTTTAAAATAAGAACAATAACATGTTTTAATTAAAAAATATCACTATGTTAAGCTAAAAATAATGCCTTTGCAGCTTCTCAGCCTTCACAAAAAGGTACAGTATTTTAAAGCGGACCCCTCTCCTTTGCGTGTTTACTGTTGAGAAATGTTTACTACTATAGAGACAGTTACAGGGCAGACCACTTTATAAATTAAATTCCTACTGATAATATTGTATTGTTTTATATTTGCTCCTCTTGCTCTAGCTATTGTACATTGAGCTTTATTTCCTTACTTGTGTACTGTAACTAACAATGACGTGAAGGGCGCTGGCTAGCCCATAACAGCTCTCTTATCTTTTTATTCCTGTTAAAATAATGTGTAACAGAAGAGTAACTAGGCTTCTACAACATCTCATCTCTCACTTGTAAACCACCTGTCTGATTTATATGGATGTCTGTATAATCATGCACGAGAATGACTGGACTATTCCTTCTTTAAAGTCATTCCAATGTTTTTGTTTTTTATTTATTGTATTTTATTTTAGTTGGGAAACTGTTACAAAGTGTTGGCTTCTTTTAAATGTATTGTGCCATTATTGCAAGCTAATGAACATTGGAAGCTTGGCGAAGTGTAAAAACTCTGTATAGGTGACATTTACCCATCACTTTCTGCTACCCAGGAAGTTTTTGTTCTGACTGATGTTCAGTTGTTTTAATATTTATGGAGATTTCTGTGCTGACAGACTTTACGTTTTTATCGTACTTTCCTTTCGTGAACATGAAGTACAATGGCATGCTAAGACACGTGTTTCAAAGGGGCATTACCTTGCTATTGCAACACAGTCTTTGTAATAACATTGTGTTGCTATGTATTTGATGTAAAAGAAGAGGGAATCTTGTGCCATACAACAATTCAGGCTCCTCTGACTTGAAAAGTGTTGTTTATAGTTTTGTGGGGTCGTCAATAAGCTTTGTTTTGGCAGTTTTTTGATGTGATTAGCAAAGTGTCTGAAAGGGCGGGTGGGGAGGCAGATGGGTGGGGAGATAAGGGAGTAACATTGTAATTAATAGGCTTTTTACACTGGTCTTAATTTACTATACTTGATGTCAGTGTTTTGTTTTGTTTTTGTTTGTTTGTTTTTTTCAACAAGCACCTTGCCTTCTCAATCACAATTCCAATCCATGTTTGGTCATCTATAAACTATAGTTTCTTTGAGGCAACAGATGAGGCATTGACATAATATTACTATTCTGTTAAACATGTGTTCAATGACAATCGCCTGATCTTTTAAATGCCACTACACTGCCAAATCCAACTTGACCATTGCTGTGTACATTTTGAAAAGTGGTCTGAATTCATTTAGCTGTGAAGCGGTGCATTTTTGGTTGTTGTTTTAAACAGAAAACATCTTTATCATTGACATTGCTGCAAATGTTGTGACTAGTTGCTGAAAAGCCTTTAATAAACCATGTTCATTCAATTACTTTCAGTAGTCCATGGAGTCAAGTTTTATTTTATTTTTTTTCTGATGACAAACAGAAAATAACAATCTAGCCTTTTTATTTTTTATTGTCATATCTCTCAACCACTGTTGTTGTGAGAGATACCCTGGGATAACAAATCCCTTAAGCAAGATTACTCTAAAACTGGTTCAATAAATCACTCCTCCTGAAGTGCAATATATTGTTGAAGAAAATAACAACAATTAATGATACTATTAAAAACTGATCAATGCCTCTGATAACAATAACCCTAAAGCAGGATTATCCCAAAAATGATTGACAAAACTGATCAAAAAAAAAAAAAAAAAAAGTAGTTAGAGAGTGATATAAGTCATTACTTAAATATAATAACATTTTATTTTATTTTTATTTTATTTATTTATTTGAGACAGGGACAGCACACAATTTTTGCATTTTACCCTAACAGGAGAGATGCATTGTACATCAGGTTGTAGCATCAGTGCTAATTTCCACCTGTAGTCCCTGGACAGATTCATTGATTGATTGTATTTAACTGACCTTGACTATCAACTGTTCATGGAGACCTGTAGCATGTTTTGGGTTGATATAAATGATATAATAAAATAGATAAATACAAATTGTATTATTTATTAAATTAAATGGAAATCTTAAAAGATCACCCTTAGCATATTCAATCCTCTCAGTAGGACTACTGAGTTATTCACGTGATTTTTGGGTGCAACAGAACTAGAATACCATAAGATATGAACAAGATTTTAAACCTTAAATACATATTTGAGCCTGTATGCAGCATGAAGGAGAGCAAGTCAAACAACTAAATCTCCATCAGAACCAAACCAAACCAAAAGATGTAGTCTACCTACATCATAGCACATATATTTATACAAACATTATATATATATATATATATATATATATATATATATATATATATATATATATATATATATATATATATATATAGACTTTTTTTTTGTCTTTTGGGGTATGTTGAGAGTGATATTTGACAGTAAAAAGGCAGCAAACCCCAGAATATTTTTCTGCTAGTTTCCCCAGGATGTGCCAGGATACACCATGCTAAATTTTAGGGTTATGTGATGCAGTTTATTATGTGATGCTGTCCATTTATGCAGTTGCAGAACTTAAATATTTACAATTTTGCCTACAACTTTTCCTAAATAGGGGCAGAGTTAGGGGTGGCCCTTATCAATCTGTGATGGCCCAAGATATAAAATAACAGGAAATAATAGCGGAAAAAAGGTTGTAATAAACATCCTGAGAAGTGGACTTGGCTCCAGCTAATAAGAGAGTCAGTGTTAAGGACCTAATACGGTTTAATTTTTCTTTTAAAAAAAATTTACTACCCTGCAACTCCGACATAAGAAGCACAATAATCTGATCTTTATTACTTAACACAGGTACATTTAGACACTGAACCTCGTAAAACAAGTGTTTGATTTTTTACAGTGATGAAACAGACCAAATCAATCTCAACAGAGAACACGGTTAATCGTATATTGTCCATCAGTCTTTGAGTTCTTCTCCTGGACCAAATGTGATCTCGGCCAATTTGGAGTAGGACTGGAAGTGCCTGGATGAGAGGTATGTGCCGAAAAACGCTTGCAGCAGCAGCACCGCTCTCATTTTCCTCAATACTGGCCTGGAGACTTCCACCCAGTAGCGCATAACGTTGCCTTTCTCTGGCATAAGCGCTGTGTTGTATCTGGTAGCAAGGCCAAAATTCACGGGTAAGGCGAGGAGAATGGGGTACAAGCCTCCACCGACAACCCCCACCAGCGCACCCCGGATCATGGCGCAGGAGGGGCAGTTGAGGTCCCCGGACAGGAGAGGGGCGGACACGGCTGCATTGTACAGGGCCATCGTGGTCAGGAAGGGCAACACGGCCATGGGCAGACTGGAGGTGATATGCGCCTGGGTCACGTTAAGAGCTCGGCGGTATAAACTGTTCGCTACCAGTCCAGCGAGACCAGCATTTCCCCCAAAATACACGGGGCCATACGTGAACAACTTCTGATCAATGTCAGGCAGTTTGTCGAAGTTTTTGGACAGCATCTCCGCAATTACAGCCCGAGTGATGGCCCTTTCCTTCGCAGTATTTTCCGACATACTTAAGATTGTATCCGCAAAAACTATACAACAAAAAGTAGTCTACAGATCAATTTTTAAACCTTCACATAACTGGTAACATGAAAACAGGGCGCAGACATATTGTATCTTACCCACAAACCCAAGCGCTCACCAGGGTTGCCAGATTGTGAAAGGCAAACCGACCAAGGTCCAAAACAAGATCGAAGACTCTCAAAAAATAAGCACAAGAATAGTTGAATATAAGCAGTATATCCTCTGAACGAGCGTTAACAGAATGCCTGTGTTTTATTAGAATGTGTTACAGCAATAGTAAATTAAACTTTGACAACTGGGTATTTTAACGTAAAACACAACTAGGAAAAGGGCTAAAATAAAATCACCTCTTAAAAAAAAAAAAAAAGCTGCATAAAAATGACAATAAATAAATAAATAAATAAATAAAATGTTACTATACTGATTCACATTAGTGTACCGTGACCAGTTTTTCAAAATAAAAACTGAAAACTCCAGTTTGTGTTGGTCGGTAATATTAAATTGTGAATCGATTGTGTAATTAAGAAAAAATGTTGTATAGTCAGCTTTTCTTTGTGTTTTGGTCATTTCTAATACACTTTTCTGTATTTTACCTTAACAAATAACAATGTATACCTCTCTTTACTGTTGGCAGGTATCAAATAGGGACACCTGGAAAAGTTCTTATATAAAACTGCGACAAATCACTGGTTTTGGATAAATCCACTGGGACAGGGGACACAGGGCTCAAAACTGGGACTGTCCCGTAGAAATAGGGACGTCTGGTCACCCTACATTGGTGCCGAATCCATATCAGTTTCCCTTAACTGCGCACTCGTTTCACAATTTTAATAAAGCCAACCAACCCAAACCAATTTTTATTTATTTACTTTTTTTTAAATCTGGTCACCCTATTGTTATAGAAGTTACAAAAGAGCAAAGCCATAGCCCAAAATAAACATAACTTAAATCTAAAGTCGGTATATTGGGTGGGCGTTGCTCTGAGCTTTGCGTCACTGAATCGGCTAAAGAAGGTTCTGTGGGATTCTGCGGACCATCGCCATCTTTGTAGACGACGACGAGTTGAAGTCTTTTCCTTTGTCATTTGTGATCTTACTTTAACGAGTCGACGACGCTTCTAAATCTCAAATCTTTCACATAACTGCATTGTAAGTATGTTGCTTTTACTTAGGGAACGCATCGTGTCCTTGTGCAGATCTTAATGTTTTTTCCGCTTGTTTCTGCGCTCGACGACGCGGTAGAAGCTTCGAGCAACGTTATGCTAACGTAGTCCTATTTCCGATGTTTCGCAGCTACACCTTTTTATATTAAGTTATCATTGAATTAAGGTGAACATTTAGAGTGTGTACACGCTTGTATTTGTGTACTAAATATTAGCATTATATAACATCGTCGAGCATCGATTAACTCTTAAATGTTTTTACATTTTGCCAGCCAGGCGGCAAAGTAGGAAAATGTGGCTGATTCATGGCCTTGATATGATTCTGGCAAAATGTTGATAATGCAGTGGTTTGTTTTGGAGCTTTGGAGCTGTTTTGTTTTGGGGCTTTGGAGCCGTTTCCATCGCAGTCATTTTTGCAGGTGATGATTAAAGCTAACGTGGTCCAGCTTTTGTAACTGCATTGTTAGGACTCCCGCTTGTCTTGTCCTGTTGTTCACAAGTAAAACCCGCTTTTCTACTCAGACTCGAACTATAATTCAACAACTTTTACATCTTTTTACTTATGTTTGAATGTTTGGTGGATAAGTCCACAAGAAATGACTTCTTTGAGATCTGTGGAGTCGGTGGTGCTGGCGCAGCTACGTTATCTAACATGGCGGAAGGGAGAGGCCTCGCATTGCAGCATTTGCATGTTTCACAACCTGCTACACTGACCAAACCCCTCTGTGTTCAGCCATGTTTGAACTGTTTACATATTTGTAATTGTTCAAAGAAGTAGCGTGTTCATTATTTGTTCAAATTAGGTCCAGAAAAGATTAGAGTAATAATAAAATCTTATAAAATGTCGACAACCCATCTATGCGGTTTTATAGTATGTAAATCCTGCCAACTCTAGTAATGCAGAATGTGCAGTGCCTGATTATAATGTTGCTGCTGGGTGTGTTAAATGTGTGCACTGTGAGTTGCATAGTAATTATCAAAATGATTGAGAACTAATTCAGCTTTTCATGCATATTTTAACATTGACGTTCTCTTTTTGTTTCAGATGCACCATTCAAAGCGAGCCCGCTCTCCCTGCATTTGGCTTGATGAGTACAGCTGGGAAGAGAGGATGGATCGTAAACGAAGAAAATATGATTCTCACAGCAGTGAAAGAGAAAACAAGTCAAGAAGAACTTACCGCCATCACAGACATTATGAAGGGTGAATATCTGCCCCTTGTTCTGTTTTAATATTGTACACACCAATACTTGTGGACACAATTTCCAGTCTGCAAGAGGCAATAATCACAAAATCTTATAGTTCCTTTTTAATGAGTTTGAGACATGTAATATTTGGCCCCATTACAGGGTTCAGTTCTAAAATATAAAATGTGTGCACTGTAAATGGGCTTGTTTGTGGCCATTGCAGGCGGTTGCGTTATGATCTCCGATCTGCTCTAATTTTAATTCTGTAGAGAGGCAGACTTTTTCCTGGAAGTTACCTGACACCAGTAGGGCGTTTGAGCATAGAGTCCTTTTTGTCCTTTTCAGATGAGTGGATACTAACCTCAGTTGTTGGGCAATAAAACAGTGCAGAACTAGCTCTATAAACAAGTACCCATCAATATGTACACTCTAAAACTAATTATATACAAAAATATTTTTGGGCATTCTTGAAATTTGCAGATGCAACATTTTTTCAGTGGAGCACAAATGCAGCTTTGATGGTAACCTCTAGTGTTTGGAGATGAGCAGGTGTGGACTCCCTGGTCAAATTTCACATCCTCTGGTTGTGTTGACAAGCTTTCAGTTCACACCTAAACTCTGCCAGTTTGGTCGACAATCTAACCTGCAGACTGTGCTTTACAGTGTCTTCATTATCTAATAAAAACATAAATCAATATGACTTTTCATGAAATTCAATTCATGTCGCAACTTGTGCATGAGTACATACAGATGCGCTGCAATTTATTGGTTGTAAGTGAGTATGTTGCTAATTAAAAATGCTACATAAAAGGCTCAAGGATTGGGTGTCAGGTTGAGGCGGGCCATTGGGAGCGTCATAAGTTCATCTCAGACCATGACTACGTAGTGCACGCAGAGTGATCCCAGATCTCCAGTTGAGAGTTGTGATTTGATTTGTTTGTTTTGTTTCCTCCCAGGCACTACCTAGAGACCCGCAGTTTGAACCAGAGGCCGGACTCTCGAGAAAGACCAGTCCGAGAGCGCAGCTGGGACATGGCCTGTGAGGACAGCCGAAACAGGACATGCAGCGAGAAGGACCGGGACTGGAACCACTACAGCAAGTCTTCTGGGCGCAGTGGTCGTAGCGGGCGTAGCCGAAGGAGCAGCCGCCGCCACAGAGACAGGCGGCACAAGCACACCCATTCCCGCCACCGCTCCGCTTCGGTATGAGGGCTCTCTCTCTTACTCCCTTTTGTCTTGTCTATGCAACAGAGCAAAAGCTGATTTATTTCTGGTGTTTAGTCTAAGCCAATGCATATTTTTGTCTTTCTACATATCTGTGTGTTCCACTCCAAACTAGTAAGCATGACTCCACTATTTGAAAAGTACTGGGTTATGGGTTCAGAAAGTAGGGGATTGACTGCTTGTAGTTTTGGAGGCGAAAGTGGACATAAAGCTGATCAAGTGCTATAGAACAACTGTATTCAATCACAAAGTGTTTTCTGTACTTGCCTGAAGAAGTCTCTCATCTGAAAATTTTGTTGCCATGTTTTTCTTCTGTAACACACACTATGTGGTGGCTGACCCAATTTCTCTGACGGGGCTGAATTTGAATTTGCTGCGCCGTCCATTCGCCTGGCGTGTTACTGAACGGGCCGAATCTGTGCACCCCTCCCCCGCCCCTTGGCCTGGTTGAATGCTTGACGGTGTCGTTGTGGTGGGCCGTGCTGGCTGATGGTGGTTATTGTGATGCCCCGTGCAGAGGAGGAGCCATCACCGCAGGAGCAGGAAAAGATCCAGGAGTTTTGAGGATGATGACGAGGGTCACCTCATCTATCACAGTGGAGACATGCTGAACTCAAGATGTATAGAATATACACCTTTTTTTACTACTGTTGTTTACTCTGTCTCTCTCACTCTCTTGTTGTCTGGTTTATTTCCACAATTTATTCTTAGTGGTTGAGGTTTTTGGGTTTTTAACTTATTACTTATTAGCTATTGCTTGTGACTTAATATATTTAGCATTGTACATAGCAGATTAGTCAATATCTATTCAGATATGTGTTTTAGTCAGTGTAGCCCACAGAGCTATATAACAGCAGGCAGTGAACCAGCCAAAGGAAAGTGTTCAAGTCTCCAATGCCCTGTTAGTAACTTAAGCTCTTTATTTTCTGTAGATGAGATAGTGTGTACTCTTGGAGAGGGTGCCTTTGGGAAGGTTGCTGAATGCATTGATCACGGAAAGTAAGAAAAGCATTTATTTTGACTTTTGTTGTGCTGTTTTAAGCCGTTATGTAATAATTTCGTATTTTCCAGTAATGGAGCACGAGTGGCTCTGAAGATCATTAAAAACATAGACCGTTATCGTGAAGCGGCTATGTCTGAGGTGGAGGTGCTGGCCCAGTTAAAAGCCCTGGACTCTCAGAACAGATAGTAAGTAACATAAGCAACATTAGCCCGTAACACTCTGTTCTCTTAACTGTTCTCGTACTAACTGTTTTTGCCGTTTCAGCTCATGTGTTCACATGTTTGACTGGTTTGATTTCCACGGCCATGTGTGCATTGCATTTGAACTGCTGGGCCTCAGCACCTACGACTTCCTCAAAGAGAACAACTTCCAGCCTTTTCCTATTGAGCACATCAGACACATGGCGTACCAGATTATCAGAGCTGTTCGGTGTAAGTAAAAATGGTCATGAATGTACTGTTAAAATTAAAGAAAGTAGTCTAAATCTGCTTTTTCTTTTTCAGTTCTGCACAAAAACAAGTTAACCCACACAGACCTGAAACCAGAAAACATATTGTTTATTAATTCAGACTATGATTTGGAGTACAATTCAGATATGGTAAGTTGTCTGCAGCATAATGCATTCGTTCATAATGCATTTTTCTGATTACTAACTATTTGGCAAAACTTTGAAGAAACGTGATGAACGAACCTTGAGAAACCCTGATGTGAAAATAGTGGATTTTGGTAATGCCACTTATGAACATGAGCACCACACGTCTGTGGTGTCTACGCGCCACTACCGGGCTCCAGAGGTCATTTTAGGTGAGGGACACCTCTAAACTTACACCACCCACCATCACCATCACCATACTGTTTATGTGGCTACAGTGTTTTGTAAGGCTGCTGTCTTTTTCAGATTTGGGTTGGGACCATTCTTGTGATGTCTGGAGTATTGGCTGTATACTTATTGAGTATTACCTTGGAGCAACTCTGTTTCAGGTAGCTCATCATGGTTAAAAATTTAAATCACTTTAACCATACCAGTTCATGTTAACATGCAGTTTTCTTGTCTCTTTATAGACACATGACAGCAAAGAACACCTCGCCATGATGGAGAGAGTCTTGGGGCCCATTCCCACAAATCTTCTGCAGAAAACCAGGTTTGTACTGAGATTCATGTGCTTTTTGTCTTTTGTACTGGACTCATCGCAACAGTTAGTCATGCTGACATTTTGAATGTGTGTAGGAAACGCAGATATGTTCATCGGTCTAAGTTGGACTGGGACGCACACAGCTCAGCTGGAAGATATGTCCGAAAACACTGCAAGCCCCTAAAGGTGAGTGGAAGGGAGTTGAATCAAATTCTGCTGTGTTTAGACTTGACAGAGCAAATTTGTCTCATACCAATGAACGACTGATGAGCATTTATAGTATCTGAAGATTGTGCCAGCAACACCTCAGAACAAAACCTTTCCAAGTCTAAAATAATTTTCTGTTGATGTGTTTTAAATATGGCTCAGGGCTAATTTGTCTTGTGCTCTGTTCTGTCAGCATTACATGACTTCCCGGGGTGAGGATCACCAGCTGCTCTTTGACCTTATCGAGAAGATGATGGAGTACGACCCGGCCAAGCGCCTCAGTCTGGAGCAGGCCCTCAGACACCCCTTCTTTGCGTGCTACCACAAGAGCAGCAGCGTGAGCAGCCGCTGTAGCACTGCCAGTCACAGCAGTGACAGCAGTAACCATAGCAACAGCAGCAGTGGCAGTGGCAGCAAATCAGGCTGAGCTTAGTGCTTCAGGGGGGGACACTGAAGTCTCACGTTTGAGCATGACTCTCCACGAGAGCTATAGTTGACTGTATCAGTCCACTGCCCTGCTTCTATCTGTGCTGTTTGTTAGGCGTAGGTTTATAATATATGTGGAAATATTTATTTGCCATTGTCTAGTATTTTGTTATTTTTTACACAATTCTTAACATCTGTTTCTGTTCATTGATGTATGATTTATGGGTAATGCAAAATATGGTTAGAAACCTTGGCATTATTTATTTGTACAGCATTATTTGTGGAAGGGGCAGATTTTCCTTGTACATAAATGATTTTTTCATGTGTAACTTTTACAGATTGTTGTGCAACATTTTCCAAAATAAAAATCTTGAAAATTACCCTGCTTTCTACCTATAAATCATTGCTTCCAACCATGTCTACCACACTTATCAGGGGGTCTTTGTTTAATGTTTTTGATTTAAAAAATTGAAATTTAATAGTATTTTGAAAGTTTATTTGTTTTAAATGTTCATCATTATGAATGTTCCAAAGGCCTTCGGATATACATAAACACTAAACGGACTGTTTTGACTGTTAACCAAAGTTAGGGGGTACTCTTGAGTGTAGAAGCTTACAGGTTACAGGACATAAGTTTCGGTACCGCTGTGAAAAAGACCAGTGGGTCCACCAGGTGGCGGTAATGAGCTGCACAGTCGCTGCCACCTGAGATAACAGAAACCTGGCGGGCATCATTTTCACGAGGTGTTCTTTGGAAATCAGTTTTAAAGTGGAAATTAATCAAAGACTGTAAAGCATTAACTTTATTGTGTTGATTATTGGAAAAGTGTTATTTAAATGATCAGACAGGGTATATTGTTATAAACGCGGCATGCCAAAAGTGTTGAGCATAAATTGAGCTAGGTTGGCTAATCCATTCAAGAAATTCTGCAACTATTATATTCCACCATTTTGCTCACACAGCCAGTTTTGCCCATTGAAACTTCTATAACAGCATGTCAGCCTAATGGGCTAGTGTGAAACCTGAAATTGATTGAACAAATTGAACCGACCTAGAGCTGTCAATCTGCCGCAGCCTCCCACGTGGTCAGCGGGGCGGGCGCACCTCAAAGCGAGGCGCAACTTTTAGGGCAGACACACAATTGTACCCATTGGTAGTTGGCCTCTTACATCCTTGTGGGACCCGCTGAGCAAACAACAGCCTACTGCCGCACCAGCCGAGCCTCTTCCAGTCCTGTGCGCACCGCCGTAAAACGCAAGACTCTGTTGAAGACAGTCTCCAGCCCCTCATGTGAACTGAACCAGGGGGTGTTGACAAGCAATAAGTGCACTGTTCAGTTTGTTCGGAGCGGCCGTGTTGACTGGAGGAATAATCTCAACTAAAGTTTTTAATCAAGGCACAAGTTATGGATACTACCAACGAGTCGATGGAGGAGCGTAAAGCAGCGTGCCAATGCGCGCCACAGTCCGCGTCTCAGCGCTGGTTCTCTGGTTTCCCTGTGGCTCTGTGTTTGTTAATGTCTCTGAGCTCCATCACCGTGTGTCTCCTCATGAGCTTTAGGACGTACCAGCTGGAGAGCCGCCTGAGCGCGGAGATGCAAAAGGCGTCCGTCTTTCACCCTCTGCACATGGCTTTTCTCAGAGACGATGGGACCCTAATACCTGAACTGGGAACTTCTATAGGACAGCTTGTAGAAGAGGTACACGCAGTACTGATTTAAGAATGTTTTGTGAACAAGAACAAACATGAGCATCATGTCATGATAACTGATAATAGGCACTACAGTCTAATTCCATTATTGGTCCAATTAAAAGTTAAGAACCTAAAGTATAATTAGAAGACCTAATGAACCTAAACAGACTAATAGCTGACCTGTTAGTTTAAAGTTAGGCTCTTACTTGGAGACATAACAACGATTAATTTAATCACTTCAGTTAATTTGAACAGAACTCTTTTTGTTCATAAACAGCTTGTGACAGCAGTTATCATAATTAGGCCTAATGAAATATCATTCAGCCTTCTTATCTTGGCAGATATAGAAAAACGTGTGATACACCTTGTTATGTTTTGATTGCAGAAAGTGAAGTCAATGATGCCTAAATTGCGACCAGTGAGGGATACTGTCCAAGAGTGCTCCTGTCCTCCAGGTATGTCCCACACAATACCAATGAAAAGAAAATATTTCACTATGTAGTCTTTGTTCTCTAAAAAGAGCTAAGAACTTCAACGTAACCAGAACTAAACTTATGTCAGTTTAATGCATGTGTGGGGGGCTATAATACATATACATATGCATCTCTGAAGAGCCCATACTGCGACAGCACAGCTCTACACTCATCAGCTCAGTGGGTTGGGGGCGTCCCGCCTGAGCTGTGCAGTCTTCAGCCTGTGGGGGCCTTTAACAGACAGAGCGGGCCTGTGCCAAGATGTGCCACATTTGTGCTGGTGTTCATTACAGCTCGTGATCGGGTCTGCGTTGGAGAACAGGGTGTTATCCACGTGGAGGGCACGCATCAAGATATGTTGATTTGGTGACAGACAGGAGCTGCTAACTGCACTATATGTCATGTCATTTATAGACAAGAAAGTTTTCTTTTAAACCTGCACATATGCAGTACTTGATTTTAAACACATAATCTCAAACACTTATTCATTTTAATTAGAATTAGTATTGTTCACTATTCCACTTGGCACAAATTATGTGAATCTTTTGTTGATCCAATCACTTATCTCCTCAATAGGAAGTAGTATGTCTTTCATCTAAGTCCTCTTAGACAGAGCGCTGGCAGCAGATTTTGTTTTTATTGAAACTGGTATTCACTTCATTCCAATATCAAAATTGCATCTCAAGCTGAATCTTTTCTCTATTTTGCCTGTGAGGGGAACATACCATCTCTGAACGCAGATTTAGAACAGTTGCTGGCTTGTGATGATCTTTATCTGTAGATTTCCTTCCCTGCTCCTCTCTGTGTCTCCTGAGTGTGAATAGAAACAATGAGAACAGGTGAAAGCGTTCACCACTGGAATTTCTGGCTTGTTTTCAACATGTTCTGTTTTTCGCAGCTTCAGGTTTTCAGTGCCAAGGCTGTTTAACCCTGTCCAATACTCTCAGTCCCTGTTTGTTTTTGGTCAGAGGATGACCACTGTTAAACCCAAGCTGCCCTTTTCTATTTTAGTTCTATTTTAGCAACAAGCAACTCAAGTGACAGTTTTAAAATGACTGATAACACTATTGTTTCAGTAGTAAGAAAAATCAGGGCAAACTTGAGTCATATATATTTTTTTAGAGTGGTCATAAAGTTGTAGTATGAGTACTAGTGGAAGCAGTTAGACGTGTGGGTTTATAGAACAGTAGTACAGTACTTGTGACTGGAGCACTGATCTTCTTTCAAGTCCTTTTAAGATTTTTTTTTCAAGTAACATTGCTATAGTTACTTTCTTTTTACACTAGTTTTTAGACATCGGCTCTTATGCCAGTGTATCTTTGGTGTTAGTACCAAACCTGAGTATCTTAAAGAATTGTTTGATGTAAAACCAATGGCAAATCAATACTGAAGTCAATGCATACTTAATAATAAATAATAAAGCTTGAACAAACCTAGAGAGGAAATTGCCCATAACTAAAACAGTGTTTGTTGTTGACATGTGTCATGTAATCAAGTGGTTTTGGCAGCTCAGTTCCAACCACTTGATTTAAAGTTGTCTCTAGTTTTATGAGACAAAGTATATGATGTATGTCCATTGTTCATTTTGTTTATTGTGGCTTTGATGCTACAGATGCCTGCGTACATGCTTTTCCCCACCCCCATGTTAGATTGCTCAACACTGACTTGTTAACATTTCAAAAGCCCCTCCTGTGATACACTTTCTTTGCATTGTGAGAAAAAGTCCTTAATGTAAAATTTAGTTTGTGATGTGTTGTATTGTTAGTTGTTTAAATTCATGTTTTAATTGAAAGATGGGTCAATGCAGAGGACACATTTCCTTGCAGGGATAGTAACGTGTACCTTAGTTTTGACAATCTCTGTCCTTCGCATTCAATTTACCCCCCAAAAATCTGATTGAAATCTGATTGGTGCAATTATCAAATTACAAAGGCTGCACTTATTTAGATAACAGAATGATTACTAGCAAACAACAAAATACCCACTATCAGTTATTTTTGTCATGCATTGCCCAGTAAATCTACTTTCTTTTCGTTGCTAGTTTGTTAAATATCTTTGCCTGTGTGTGAGTCTGTCCAGGCACATACAGTGTGAGTCTATGAGAGTTTTAAGTGACGCTGCTGCCTTTGAGGGGGCCGGCGCTGGCTCCTCTCTCAACACGACACTGAAAGCAGAGCCGCCTTTAGCACCCGCGCTACATGAGAAACTGGACCTTGGCACCCATAGGATCACAGGCCCAGGTATGTCTGGGTGTGTGTGTGTGTGTGAGAGAGAGAGAGAGTCACTGCCATACACAGCACGAGTGGCATCTCCACTATTAATGCTATGCGCTCACCATCAGGGGCTCACCTTTCAGTATAGACATGAAGGCAGGGGCACCAACAGGGGGCAGTATACACGCAGCAGTATGTGTCCACAACCTTTGACCTGTAAAGCAAATAAATCTGAACTTCTCAGAGCTGTTTGGATCATTGAGAAGATATTTTTATATTGGGCTTCACTAAAAATGGATTTCAACTGATCTGGGTTTATAGCTGATGATTTTGCATAGACAATACTGATCAAAATGAACATTGTAATATTTTTTGCGTGTCCTGATAACAACACATGCAAAACAATATCTTTAAAAGTATTAGATGAGACAAATGTGAATTGACTGTAAACTTAAGTGCAGAAATATAACTTCATACCTCTATTGGAAGTTTAAAACACTTTTCTTCCTATAATAGTTTTTACTCATCTAGTTTTGCAACATTTTAAATTATAAACAGTATAGCTTACTCTATATTCAAATCTAGCATATCTTCAAAACTAACATTCACAGTATTATCCATGTCTGGCTAAGGTGCTCACCTCTATTGCTTATACATTGAATGGTCTTAATCTTAAAGGTCCTATATTACACAAAATGGATTTTTGTGCGCATTAAGCCATGTTAGAATGTTGTTACCTCATCAAAAATGCCTGGAGTTGTGTTTTGTTTCATTTTACTCAAAATGCTCTGTTCCACCTTGTGAACTCATGAAGCAGTAGTTTTCAAGTTAACAGTTACCTTTTACCTATTGTTCAGTTCACTATCTATTAGAAATTTTAGTGCTGAATTGATTCTAGTGAAGGTGTATGGTGTAAAAACACAGTGGAGCACCTCCTGTATTACCAAATGGCATCACAAGGTGGAACAGAGTGTGTTTTTATACAAAAATAGAACTCAACCTAAATATGCAAGGTTTGTGTGTTAAACATGGGTGAATGAAACAAAAAACAACGCAAGGTATGTTTATGATAAGATAGATTAAAAAAAAAATCATATAGCACCTTTAAATGATATTTAAAATTCATTATATGTTTAGTACTGTTTAAGGACATCTTCTATGTTTCCTCCACAGTCTGCATTGTGACACTTTTATTGTCAGTGATGAGCGGACGCCATATAGTCTTATTCAAACGGAGCTGCCCAGTCCTTACAAGCTTCAGGTGTTTGCCATTAACAGAGGGCCGTTTGCATCGACACACACACACACCACAGTCCAGCACACACAACTCTGTTTACACATGAGCACAACAGCTTTATGGTCCAGGCCTGATTCAAAACATGTGGAGCAGTCCCATGTGAGAGGGGCATTGTCATCTCTACATTTAACACGTTTAGAGCTGGTTTAAGGACCTGAGGCGTACAGTATACCCACTCTGAGCAGCAGCAGCAGCGCCAAGTGAAACACCAACAGGAACGCCCACTCATGCAACCACTGGCTTTATTCAGTCATATTCTTCTTTCCATAATTACTCACCAACTTTTTAACTGTTCAGTCCTGGTTGATAAGCACTACTATTACTACTGGTATGACTAGATCAACTTATTGTTCAATTAGTGATGACTGGAATTTGACTGGATTTTTGCAGCTCTACATGTATTGTGGGGAGTTTTGTGGTTTAGTAAGATTTGAGATATAAGGAGTTATAATATAATGTAAGAAGAAACCTTTAATAATTAAGCATTTTGCTTTTGTTGCAGCTCGTTTTTCTTAAAAAAAAATACATTTAATAATAATAATAATGCTTGGTCCTGCTTTTGGATTATTACGGTTTCAATATTATTGTTATTTTCTGTAGCAATATATCACATTTCAAAATGTGTTATCATCATAACAGACCAAGAACCAGTATTTCTTTTGGTGTTGCACTGACCAGCACTCCCTTTGCTGATAGCACTTATTCCCAAATATTGGCATTTTTAGCATGTCTCAATATTTACGAGGGAGTTCCTTGAGTTGTGTGGGGCGTCCTGGTCTTTGAAGTGGGTGATATGAGGTCAGAGGGTCACACCCCTGGCTGTGTGGTCAGATCCATTTCCATCAGATAAGAGCCTATTAACACGAGGAGTGGGACTGCAGGCCTCCGTATACCTGTGTTTGTGTATGTTGGTATAATTAAGAGGGCATGCTCACAGTGGGATGCCCTGACTTAACACGTGCACAAAACTCTATCTCTTCACCCACGAGGTACTGAGTAAGCTTCCTGCTCCATACCTGCTGGAGCATGACGAGGTGGGGGGTAGCCACATTTAGGGAGATGCACAATAGGTCCAGTAACACGCCCACAGGGCAGCATTAGTTTTTAAAGCTGTAGTAGTAAATCAGACAGGAAGCTTGCCATAGCCTATACAGTCTATGGGTAGAACACAAATGGTGGCTATAACATATTAATGGCCATTTCAAAACAATAAAAGCAGGAAATTGGAATTCATATGTCGTGTTCAAAATTACTTCCACTTGTGTTGGAATCTATGTGCACAAAACTGATTTGTGGGAAAATATAAATGTAGTGTATACATGGTAGTAGTTTAGAAAGCACCTCTCAGAATATTGCTTGAGAGAAAATGACACAAAAACAATTAAGCCATAGTTCTCAGTGCAATTCTTCTTGATAAAGTTGGTGTAGTTGTAGCAGTTATTTGTAGATAGGGGTAGTAGAAAGCTGTAAGG